TCTTTGCTAACCAAAATGAAGAGTATAAATAAAAAAAAATTTACATTAAAATTACATCAAAAGAGTTAGGTTAAGACTTTTGTACTAGTCACAGGGAAATGTATAGTTTAGGCTGTTTGCCCATTGCTTGAAATGTGGTATAGTACACACTCAACTGGAGGCTGTCACTCCCAGACACTATCTTTCCAATAATAATAATCCCGGATTTCAGCACTGACTTTTTGCAAATGCTTTCACCTTCCAATAGAAAGTTAAAATTTTTACTAGGTGTGGCAAAGAACTTCTGCCTCTCACCTAGTCTTTGAGCTAGTAAAGTCAGCTGTGTTGACTCTTCAGGTGCCCAAGAAAGGCAAGAGGGAGGAGCACAAAGTATCCTATGTTTGGATCTTATCCCAGCGTGAATGTACAATATAGCAAGGGCCATGTCATGGATGGGGAAATGGTAGATCTCCAAAACCAAGGAAAAGTCTACTCATAACCTAAGAAATTTCAAAGTTAGCTTTCATACTTTTATCTAGCTTGATCAGAAAGCTAGTCTAAGACATAAATTGTTCTGACACAACCAGGAGAGATTGTTACCTCACTTCAAGTCTGTTTAAAGTTATTGAAAATAGGATTTATGTAGCTCTTTAGTCACCAACTTCATAAAAACTCTTATGACACTGATTCTTAAAGTTCTTCAAAGTCAACTAAACCTTGCTAAAAGAGCTAAGCAAAAAGTTTTACTAAAGCTGCAGGTGGCAAAATTATCTAATTCACCCAGTCTTTAATAGGAAACCTTAAAGGAAGCTTTTGTTATTTCCCAAGGTCTCTTAAAAGGTGTTTTAATAAACACTTTTCTGTTGTGAATCTTTTAATCCACCTTATATTTTGTAGACATTATCAACCTTATCTGAAAAATCTTCATTAAGTCTCACGATTATTTCTAGCTAGGACCTCTCCCATTTAGTGTTTTTAATCATTTGTTTCAGTGAGATTAGCTTTGAGGATATTTTTCCCCCCAATTTTGGGTCACACCAGGGCTACTTCTGTGAAATTCAATTAGAACCTTATAACAGTTCTCTGTACATTTCATCACTTCAAAAAACAAATAATAAGAACTTGAAAGAAGCACTCTGTGACTGCCAGAAAGGGTTTATTAGCACTTTGTCAAAAAAGGGTATGTGTTTTGTGTAGATCAATCAAATCTACTTCAAATGGCAAGTCCTTGAGCTCAGAATAGTGTGGACATAATATCTAGATTTTACAAAAAAAAAAAAAGAAAAAGCAAACAACAAACTGGCACTCCATCTTAGCATGAAAGACTACAGAATGAGCTGGCTCTTAATTGCTTCAGAATTATTGCTTCAGAACATTTAGTTTTGCCTTCAACTTTAGGTACAGGCCTGTTCTCAGAACATTTGCTTTGTCACCTTGATCTGGGCCACCAAAATAGCCATTAAGGCTTGGCAAATGATTGCTTTTCCTTTTCCGAGTCATCATTCCCCAAGTATCTTTTAAACATGTAGAAACCACTGACTGATTTGACAAATTTAAGGCATGTCTGCACTGAGATAATTTGCAATAGAATAATTGTATCGATGTCACTTAAGATTAAGTCAGCAGCTGAAGTCCCACATTACAGCTGCACAGAACATCTACTGCAGTTATGTTACTAATTACACTGGTGAAAATTTCACCTGTACAGGCATGCTGCTATAGAGTAGGTCACCTCGGGATTTTTCTTCTTGAACTCCAAACTGCCAAAGATATAAAAGAAGCAATCAGAGTGAAAGGCTTTCAAAAAAAGAATCAACAGCTTAAATTAGTTGTGAGAAAAACTGAGCAAAGTTGCAATGAAAAATGTGATCTCTTTACCAGCAAGCTAAATAAGTATAAATAAATATATAAATAAATAAAAGTTTAATATGATGATTTTACCATTTAGGCTAAGTCTTTCTACTAGCTTCTGATGTGTTTTTTTTTTTAATTTTTGTCACATGAATCTTACTGTATGAACAGTTTCAGAAAACAAGATCACATTGCATTTGTAGTTAAAGGATTCATTTGGGATATGATAGAATTTTTCCTACACAATAGAGCAGAGTTGAATCCAAGCTGCCCAATGACCCAACCATTTTGCAGAACGCTTTACATCTTGTCCCTTATCCATCCAATGTATGTTTAATATTTCCAGCAATATTCTAAGAACCTGCCTTTTCCAATCAAGTGTGTTTTACTAGATATCCTCAGTCCCACCCATTTGAGGACCCAATTGTCACTAAAATCAATAAGATTGTATGCCTTGTGCTACTTAAAAACTCAATACCTTTATACTCTGGTACAGCATGATTTGCCCAAGAAAAGAGCAAAACAGTAGCAGAAAAAGATTAAACACAAAATTATGTCTCCTGGGGCCACTCATTTACTGATTCATCTACATACTTTCACCTTAAAATTGATAAATGCCTGATTGTGTGGAAATCTGGAAAGCAGAAATCTGTCAACAGAGTTCGTATATAAAATATCTACAGTTATTCTTGAGAGCTCTTGATTGAATATTATTTACTGAATAAGGCCCTCTAGTCTTACTATTCACACATCCCTGCTTCAGAATTCATTTTCTTTTTCTGTTGAAGTACATCTGACTTTTTTTATTCTTTGCTTTTATTTGCATTTTTATAACTGATTACATTAAATTTGTTTTCCTACATACAATGTATACAATATCAATTGTTTGTGCAGTTACTGTACAGATTATCATCACTTTCCTTCTCACTTTAATGTCATCATAAACATCACACCCTCTTTGCCAACCTGATATTGATTTAATGACTTGATTTGCTCATGACAATAATGCATCTTATCTTTCAAGCTACTTAATGTATTTGCTTTAAGAATAACTGAGGTCTCCAGTGACTGTGCAGACAAAGTAGAATTACCACAAAAAAGTTTTGTGGTAAAAGATAATTACAGGAATTTGAATGCCAAATTAATGAACAATCTAAAGATCTTATGTAGCTCCCAAATTACAAATAGTTTCACCAAATAGCGCAGCCAAGAATTAACATTCTTTAGCTATTGTTTTCACAGGACTTCATCTGGAAATTCATGAAATAATCCCAAACCTTTGAAGCAATTGCCAAAATGCATGTTAAAAACTTGTCAATTAATTTATATAGCTTCGTGAAAACAGTGACCTGAATGGAAAAATCTTTCTGACATTTTGCCAAAATAGCCAAACTTACTGTCATCCTGGCTGAGAGTAACAGAAATGTTCTCAGTCCCTGAACTTACTCTGACAAGCACAGGTATCATAACTGCCCTCTGTTCAGCCCTGAAATCTTTTCCTTAGCTTTGACCAACTTACTAATATGGAAAACTTCCTAACATTTCCCAGTAGCCCACCAGGTATTAAGATCACTCTGACTCAGATAACTTTATGGAATGATAGAAACATTCATTAGTCAAGAAACTAGAATGGAGGTGCACAGGCAGTACTCTATCCATTCTTAAGGTGCACATACTTATGATACAATCAGATGTGAACTCTGATTCCCAAATTAACCTTTCTAAGATTTCAACCAGCTCATGCCGATTCTTAAGTGGACATCTACATAGTCAAGTGTATATTCTTAATGACACGAGGAGTAATTCTAACAGTGACAAAAGAACTTCCATGCTTAAAATTAGGTGAATGTACCAGACCAGGTGTTACTGATGAAAGAGGCCTGGTCAAATACAAGTAAAATGTAACCCCATGGTACACACATTTAATTCCTCTATATGTACATACCTGAATTTCACTGTAAGCACTCATTTCTAACTTGGGACACACAAAGAGGAGAACTCTTCTTCTTAGTATTCTCCTTATTTTTCTATCATTGTATCTTTAAAAAGTGCTTGTCTTGCAAATAGAATCATAGATTGCTAACATTGTTATTTTATTGTAACTGATTATGTCTGTTTTGCCATACAATGCTCACTGCCAAGAACTTCACTTCTCCCACTGGGAGGCAATTTTGTCTTGCTATTTGCTTGGCCTACAACAAATAACACTATTATAACCGTTTCACATTGCTGCTTACAGTGGAGAAAAACACCAAAAATGTTTGAACATTTGCGATTCAGAGCAAACTACTGTGCAAAGTTGGTTAGATGTTATTTCTGTATCAGCTGGTTCCATCTTGGCTAACTCTAGAAGCCAGCCTACAGAGGAAATTAAGAATGTCTCTAGTTATTGTATATCTATGCCAAAGTTGGGGGATTTTTTAAGACTTAGTGGTCTGAAAGGCAGAGAACAGGAGGAGCAAAAAGGGTATAAAATGAATGTACAGCAATTAACAATGAGTATATAGTATTAACATTCATTGATTCTTGGGCAAGATTTCTTGGCTTGCCTTCCCAGTCAATGATCGTTGTGTCAACAATGCTACACTGTCATGGGGAGTAGATTTGAATGGTGGTCAATAAAAGAAACAGAAAAAATAGACACATAAAGAAGTTAAATACAGATTAAACTTTTCTTTGATCTTGTGGAATTAATTGTTTAGAATCCTTGTTAGCAGGTCTGAGACATCTGTATTCAGATAATCCAAATCATGAGAGAAGTCAGGGAAACAAAGATGACTGAAACATTTTAATGTTGAGCTTCTTCCTATAAAATATGCAAATCACATTCTGATTTCATAAAAATCTCCTCCCTTTGAGTCTTCAGTCTGCCATTATTAAAAACAATACATGCAGAAAAAAAGCATGGTGTTTCTTAAGGTTCCCTGCAGATTTATATAAAAAGGGCAAAACTCTTTAGTCTACAGAGAAAAATAGCAGAGTTGGGTGCTCAGGGGTAATGAATCTGCAAGTAAATTTTTTGCCACGGAAGGCACCATAGCAAAATATAGTCAGGATTCAAAAAGTACGTATAAAACATAACACATGCATATTTCCATCCCTGGCAGTGTTCAAGGCCAGGTTGAATGGCACTTTGAACAACCTAGTGTAGTGGAAGGAGACCCTGCCCATGGCAGGGGCATTGGAATTACATGATCTTTATGATCCCTTCCAACCCAAACCGTTCTATGATTCTATGATATCGGGGGGGGTTGGTGGGTTGGGGTTGGCCGCTTTTTTTTTGTTGTTGCTGTTGGTTTTCTCAGAAAAATAGCTAAGATAATGCCCCTTTTTGACTTTCTTTTTTTTGTCCATGATTTTTCTTCAGGGCATGTGTTGACATTCATCATACTTGCCTCAGGCAGTGACTTCAGTCTGCAAGCACTGTGACCAAGTCCTGCGAAAGTTACGCATTGATATAGAAATGTTCTGTCTTTTTACACGTATGTTAATCTTTACCTATTCTTAAATACACTCAACATACTGCATCATTTGATACTATGCATAGCTACAATTTACACAAAATGTCTAGTTTAATAGAGCTGGAAATACATTTCAAGCATAATTTTTGTTTATTCAATCTCTAAAATTTCTACTTGGGAATTATGTATTTTCCTACACAAAACACTACTACTACAAAACACTCTCACTACAACTTAGTCACAGAAGTGTGTATTTCCATATGGTGCATCCCAGTGTCATATCACCATTGACTTTCCACATAGAACCTTAGTTCCTTTCACAGAGACAGAAACATGCAAATGATCGCAAGCTTGAGGAAAGCCTGAGATGCTTTACTCTGTGTGTAAGAATCAAATAAAGGAAACGCACATTTTGGATTTCACCACAACAAGTTGGATTTCACCATCACCATGTTTCATACTTTATGCTAACGTATTGTCTTCCTTTCTCTCTCACTTTTAGCTTATTATTCAGTCCTCACTCACAAATTAGAATAGTGTAATTCTGCATACATTGGGTTGTTTCTTCCCATTCCCATTAAATGATCACCATCAAAATTTACAGCAGACACACAGTTCACAGCAGAAGAGAAGCTTGCTGCAAACTTCTGAATTTGTAGCAGGCTTCAGTTAGTCTTTTAGTACAGCACCATAAGCTCTGCTGATTGGCCATTGATTAAAATCAGGTGCAGAACGGAAACTTCACAATCCCTCCTTCCCATCAGTGTCATGATGTTTACCCCTTCAAATCACAGAAGATGCTTTCAAGTTTAGATCTAGTTCTTTTTAAAGTGAGAAAATAAAAAGCACTTAGACTAAGTAGATGAGCATAATGACTATTATATCACAGTATAAAATCTTTGAACCAATAATAATAAAACTAATGATTCTTCAGGTGTACTTCCTATAATTGCTGAGCAATGTAAATGGAAACCGAGTTTCAAGTGTAATTAGTGTAGTGCTCATCATTCATCTTGTCCTTGTGGAAATCGCCATGAAGGAACCACTCCATCCACCTCTGGGGTGAAACCATTCTTGGAGAAGAATAGAGTGGTCATTATATGTTCAATAGCACAATACAGCAGGCTTTCAAGGGAAGATTACCTCTTTGAAAATACATGATTAAATAGCCTACAATGCAGCTACACAAGCTGGAATCCATCCAGGACAATAACAACACCCACACTTTTCTTGCAGAGAGTGTCATGGGATCTTTAATGACCCAAAGTGGCTTTCTCCTTGGTTCTATTTCTCAAAAGCCCTTCAGGTCTTCTTTTAGAATACTGAACCCTAGATATCCCTCTGCAGTGAAGAGCTAAAGGAAAATGAAAAGGGCAAAATGTCAATAGTATGTATTGTTTAGTAAAAAGAATCCCCAAAAGCTCAGGAAACATGTCTTTTTAATGTGAAACAGCAGTTTGTGGCCAGCTGTTCCACATCGTTATGAGCACAAGGTGTACAAATGGGGACTATAAACACAGTACATTGAAAATAAGGCCTGCATGGATAATCATACCTATTAATATAAATGGCACTGGGAAGAGGCAGACTGAGCTCATATCCCAACTGACAATTTAGAGCAAACTTACTGTTTTTCTTCACCATCTCAGTAAGAAAATAGATGTAACATGGGTCCAACAACAAGTGAGCCCCCTTAATGTGTTTATTAAAATGCGAATTGAAATGCTGAGTAGAAACATGGCACTGCATATAAATGTGACAGACAGTCTTTTGAGTTCTTTTACACCATTAAATTGTACACACAATAGGATCATGCATTGGACTTATTTTCAAAACGCAGAATAAGTAAGGATTTATGCAGCTTTTCTGAAGGCTATAATGAAACACACACAAGTGCAGGCAAAGAGCTAAGTTTATCACAACTCACAGAACATTTTCTTCCTCAATATAACATGAGGTTAGCCAGAGATGATGGAATTCCAGCAGGTATTTCAGCATTTTCTGTCCTGTGACTACAGAATGTCTACTGAAGAAATACTCCTGTCTAACATAACTTTAGAATTTATCTGGTAGCAAAACAATAGAAGAAAAAAATATCAAGATCCTTACCCATGAGTTTTCCATACCAATTTTCTCATCTGGGTTTCTTTTTTATTTTAAATATGGCCATAAACCAGGGAAAAAAAAAAAAAAAAAAGGAGAGAGAAAGACTAAATTCATTGTCTAAGCTATTTTTCCATAGAGGTGCATTAATGCAAATGAGACACAATGAATTTTCCCAGTTATAATTGGGCTGAAATGAGGTGGAAGGAACAGAAAGACAATTAACTTTATGGGGTTTTCTTTCTTTTCTTCCTTTTCTTTTATTTTCCTTTTTTTTTTTTTTTTTTTTAATCTCAAGCAGTTTGGAGTACGTTTAGTGCCCAATGGTAGTAGGCTGTCAGTGCTGCTAGGCAAAATTATTCTGAGACCTTCAAGGGGCTTTGTTTATTGCATTTTTCAATTAACCTCTGTGTTTTAACTTCATCATAATGCCTGTGCCAATTCACACCAAAGAACAAACAAAAATCCCCATTTCCTGTCATTATTTCTTTGCTTCATAAAATAAGGGGCTTGTGGTTTTTTCCATTTCTCTCTTATTTACTACAGGGAAGAAAAGGACGTAAATTTCAGATTACAGAACACAACAAGGGGCAACAGGTTTAATATAAATTACATTTCTATATTAAGCTTTCTTTCTTTTGTTCCTTTTTGCTTGTGAAGAAAATGTTTTCCACCCAGAAAGCATGTTTTATGAGCTTTAAAGTTTGATATGGGGAACTTGAAGTAGATACAAAAGGTTCAATACTAACTAAACTCGAGTTTTAGAAATGAAGCACAAAGAAAAAAATTATAATTTTATAACTCTAAACCCCTTTGCATGGCTATAGAAACACTAGATCCCTAAGAATTCTGACACTAGATTCACAGCAGCCATAATGTCAAGCAACGTTAGCTAAGCAAGTTTACTAATAAGGTATTACTGAAATCTCATAGCTACAACTCAGATATGTTTAACTACATGGAATAACCCTCCACTTTCCTACCTTGTTGCCTTCTTTACCTCTACTCTCTAAAATGGTGCTGGCCATCTGGACCTAGAACACAAAGGCTTGTGTTCCCAAACCTGAGCAGTTTACATATGTGATACCAAATGTGATGGAATAAACACTTTCTGCCTAAACCGGGATTACAAACCTGGGCATCCAGGCTTCAAACAGAATAGTCATGTATGTAACAAATTCATGGTTACTTCCACACACCTGTGAAACATAACTAGTTGCATGGCATGGAGCTCAAATCAGCTAATATTTGATGTCTGGCTGCTTACAGGGAAGTTAGTCCCCTTGTGTCATGATTTAAACCCCGTCAGGCAACTTGTTCACTCACTCCCAGTGAGTGGTGCTGGGCTGAAAACAATCGAGGGGCGTCCCCCGCCCCCCTCCCCCGCCGGGGGTCTCCCCTTCCCCGCTCCCAGAGGAATGGGGAAGAGGATTGAAAGGGTGCATCTCCTACGGGTTGAGACAAGAACAGTCCAGCAAACAATGTACAACACAGATCACCACCACTACTACCAACTACAACAATGAAAAGAGAAAACAACAAGGGAAGAGAATACAGTGCCACTGGCCAAGAAACGAGTCCCACCTGGAAGCCCGTGCCCTTCCGGGTAACTCCCAGTTACCCCCCACCCCGGGCATGACGTGCTGTGGTATGGAATACCTCTTTGGCTAGCCTGGGTCAGGCGCCCCGTCTCTGCTTCCTCACGGCTTCCCCTCCTCCCTGGCAGAGCATGAGCCTCACAAAGTCCTTGGTCAGGGTAAACATCACTTAGCAACAACTGAAAACATCGGTATCACCAGCACTGTTCCCAGTCTGGAAGTCAAAACACAGCACTGCACCAGCTACCAAGAAGGAGAAACATGACTGCTACTGCTGAACCCAGGACATTATCCACCCCTTATTCCATACCATTCATGTCATGCTCAGATCTCACATTTTCAATACACCATCGTTCTCCCACATATATACATCCATATACACACAGACCAAGAGAAAAAGATAATTTTCTTAGTGCATGGACCAATCCCTATTATGCTGCCGAGTCCATTTGGTCCATGATGTCAGGTTCCATCTCTTGTAACAATCTTTCAGGGCAGGAAAGGCTGTGTGCACTATTGAATCGTTGCCTGCTGATGATGCTGGTGGTTCCTTTACTGCGGAACTCTTGCAGTTCTATCAAAGTTCATTCTCCATTGGGATGATGGTTGGAGGGAAGTCAGGGCTAGTCACTGGTGACCTGGAGACATCTGGTTGATGAGCTATAAAAGTATTACACAGCAGACAACAGTATACAATTAAGTTAATTGGCTGTTTTCCTCTAAAATCAACTCCCCTTGAGGTATACATCGGACTTCCCCATCTTCCTGCATTACCCACCAAGGATATCCAGGTCCCCGAGCAAAAGCAATCCCACGAGTGGGTTTGCCTTTACCTGAAGCAGGAATTACCCAGACTGTCTTCCCCAGCAAATTCTTCATATGCACCATGGGAACTTTGTCCCCCTCTACAATATGTAAAAGTTCTGACTGGGCTGGGCCAGCCCTGTTGGCAGAACCTCTGGTGTTGACCAACCAGGTGGCCTTTGGTAAGTGTGTATCCCAATGCTTGAAAGTTCCCCCACCCATTGCTCTCAGTGTAGTTTTTAACAGCCCATTGTACCCTTCGATTTTCCCAGAGGCTGGTGCATGGTAGGGGATGTGATACACCCACTCAATGCCATGCTCTTTGGCCCAAATATCTATAAGGTTATTCCGGAAATGAGTCCCATTGTCTGACTCAATTCTCCCTGGGGTGCCGTGTCGCCACAAAATCTGTTTCTCAAGGCCCAGGATAGTGTTCTGGGCAGTGGCGTGGGGCACAGTGTATGTTTCCA